CCTCCCTCTCTCTCTCCCTCTCTCTCTCGCTCTCCCTCTCTCTCGCTCGCTCTCCCTCTCTCTCGCTCGCTCTCCCTCTCTCTCGCTCGCTCTCCCTCCCTCTCGCTCGCTCTCCCTCCCTCTCGCTCGCTCTCTCTCCCTCTCTCGCTCGCTCTCCCTCTCTCTCGCTCGCTCTCCCTCCCTCTCGCTCGCTCTCCCTCCCTCTCGCTCTCCCTCTCTCTCGCTCGCTCTCCCTCTCTCTCGCTCGCTCTCCCTCCCTCTCGCTCGCTCTCCCTCCCTCTCGCTCTCCCTCTCTCCCTCTCGCTCGCTCGCTCTCCCTCTCTCCCTCTCGCTCGCTCGCTCTCCCGCTCGCTCGCTCGCTCTCCCTCTCTCTCAGGCATACCAACTGATAAGAGCTGTTTCTGTGCTGCTAAACTTCACCCGTGAAGAAGAGGCTATGCTGAAGGAAAGCCTGGAGTATAAGGTCTGCTCCCTGTCGCCCACCATGTAGCTCCAAAGACCACTTTCAGATGTAAACGGAACATCCCAGTAATCTGGTTTGCTTAAGAGAAATTCCAATATCACCCTACAAGACATCATACAAAGGAGGCGTCTCTCTTAGTCAAACGGGTCAGGCAAAAAATGTAAGAAAATGAAATTAGAGAGAAAATAACTTAGAGTTTACAATTGTCACATTTTAACACATTAATTTTATATAATTTTTATTATAAAAAGCACACTGAGGACTTCAGTCTACCAGGGCGTGCAGAGAATACCCTGTATGCTGAACTCCCACTGCTGCTAGCTCTATAGAGTAAAATCATTTGTCTTGCTGTACATTTCATCTTTCTGTCAGTGTCTAGCATGCTTACTTCTCCCCCACCCAGTATCTCAAGTGCAGCTGCAGACTAGCAGCTGTAATGTGGGCGGCGGGTATGCCGTGCTCCGCGCCGCGGCGTCATGGGGCGGCGGGTGTGCCGCGCTCTGCTCATGGCGTCATGGGGCGGCGGGTGTGCCGCGCTCTGCT